ACGATCACGTCTTTGACTGGACGATTGGGGAATTTCTGAGGCGGGAGCCTGACGCCCAAGAACCGTTCATGTCGAATGAAGTGCACGAGCGGCTAGGAGCAGACACCACCCAGCCGTCAGCTGATGGAGTCCAAGATGTGACTAAGGCAAGGCGTCGAAGGAGGAGATGATCATGGTCCCAACACGTATTTCTCTCGTATTCATTGGCCATGCTGGATGGCGGATCCTAGTCTTACAAGAACTGGACGTTGGCTGCTATCGATCATCGTGAGCGAACCATATCACAGGAAACATGAACCCCAGGGGGCTAGAAAGTGTTACTGTAATGGTTGGATGGTTAGGTTGTGTAACTCCGTACATCGAGAGCCTTCACAGTTTGCGCCTTACTGGTCCATTAAATGCCTCATCGGTTGGGAGGCTGGTCAGAATCTACTCAACTGCTGTGGAACGACAGAACATCGACACTAATCTTAAGGTACTGTAACTGCTGGGCGAACCATCACCATTTTCCCCCGAGAGCGCAAGTGATTCAGTGGTTGGCATCCGTCGACGAGGGACACTCAAACAGTCCTGCCTAAGAAAACTGGCATTAATTAAATGCCTCACCGGTTGAGCTTTGTCGATTGTCTGTGCGATGACCGTCATGGCGACCGCTCCGAGGCAGCGGCGGACACGCAGATAGTAACAGGGCCAGAATTTCCCACTCAGTTTCGGCATCGGGAGACTCATCATGGACCATGTCAGCACCGCCAGAATGGGTCATCAAACGGGGAAGACATAATTTTCTTCCTTCCAAGGCAGGTGCCTTTCTTACAACAATCGTTGATGTGATGCACCCCTTCCTTGACCGGACCACATTCCTTGAGATGGTCTTTGAACGTTGACATGATGTAGTCGCGTCTAGCATGGTTCGGCCACCGCTGATTTTGCTCGCACCCAACGCAATGGAACCCCCATTCATCCCTCCCGCTTTGCCTGTTCAGCCAAGGCACCCGCATCATTGCCATGTAACGAAGCGGCTCCAGGGCGTGTCCGTCCCACTTCCCGGTGCTCCAGGACACGGTCTCTGCTATGTGGGAGAAAATTTCACTTCTATCGCTCCTAGTGTCTTCGTCCGTATCGTCAAGTGTGCTGATACTTTCGTTGTCAGTTTCATCACCCACGCCATTGGCATCCTCAATCTGTGCTGGGTCATGGCACAGAGAGAATTGCGCCATTCTCCTTTGTCGTTCTTTCCCTCCTTGTCAGGACCTCCTTTTTATAAGCGTTCCGTTTCCTGATCTTAGTCACTTTTTGGGCAATCTTGTTGCGGACCTTCACTACCCTCTCTGCTGCCACTTGCTTCTCGCGTCTTTCGATTTTTTTCTCGAATTGTGCCCAGAGGTTGGAGTCTACGTTCGCCACGTACTCCTTCATGGCTTGAAGCGAGCCATGGCGAGCGACCCCTGCACGGTACGCAGACTGGCGGTCTATCAAAGACAGATAGCCCTGCCTGTTCCTGTAGAAGAATTCATCCTCGTAGTAGCCGGGGTAGCCTTGACAACGAGGCAAAGTGCGCAGGATTTCCGGAGTAAGGCCGTACGTTCTCAAAGCGTCAGTCTCTCGTAGTGGCCAATATCGGTCTTGCTCCGTGAAGCACCGATAACAAACCCGCCGAAAAGTCAGAAGATAAATGTATCCGCCATAGTCGCCACAGTCCTCACACTTGCTGGTGCAGAGCTTTTCAAAGAGGACTTGAACGGTGATCATATGGCTTGTTTTAATGGCGCGCAACCCGCGTAGGGTATCATGCGCTTGCGAGTTCATGACGTGAAATTCCGGATGCGCATTGACGATCTCGAAAGCTCGCCTATTCACTCTTTTGAACCGGTCAAGAGTAGATATGTCAAGTGACGAGATAATAGAATTCAGGAGCTCAATGGGGAGCCGATTGAGTGCTCCGAGACCTGCACCAGGAGGGTCGGTCTTTGCCCGATAAGTCACACGTATTTCGCGGTCTCCGATATACGGGATGTTTCGATCGAGGATTCTGAAGCCCGAATCTGAAGGTCTCCAACCAAAGTAGGCTGAATCGGTGAGCTGCTGCCACTCCGCCTGCTGCGATGGTGTTAGTCTTATTGTGCTCGCTCCTGGGTTGAAATCGTCAGGTTGCGCGCAAAGCCAGAGATAGAGTGAATTCTTGTACGGCACCGACATCTTACAGTACTGTACCCTGTACGGACGAGGTGAAAAGAGATGTTCAGTAGTATTTACGTGGATGGACCACAGAAGAGGGGTCTTCGCCATCGATGATTCCTGCGCAATGGTTGGCTCTCTAGGCGGCCCTCCAGTCTCGCAAGCGGTTGGCATGAGGAAAATCGGGCAACGCCTGCCTAGACGTTGTCAATCATCGAGAGCCAATCGTCGCTTTTACGAGGAGCGGGTGCAGGTGGATCCAGCTCTGGTTCAATGTGCTGGAATACCGAAAGGTCGAAGATGGCTGGAGCGGACCCTAGCACAACCCCTGACGGAGAGCTACGGTGACGGGGCGAATTGGAGCAAGGTCTCCGAACACTACTTAATCCCAGCCAACGATTTGCCCAACGGATGCTTTCTGCTTCGCTGTCGTGTTTCATAAAATGGCTGGCTTCTCGATGATGGACCGGTTATGCAAGAGGATTCAGATAGGGAATGATTGGTCCTTATTGCAGGCGGCATCGGTTGGAAATCATTGGCCGGTAGCAATCCAATTGAAAGCCAGAAGAATTGGGTGATACGTAGAGAGTACTTTGTACTGTAATGCCACTCGACAAAGAGGCGCCGGGTGCAGGTCCAAACCGCAAGCGCAAGTCCTCAAGCAACACGAGAGCTCTCCAGTGGATGCCACCTCAGTCCTTCGCCAGCGCATCCACGTCTCCTGGGTAGCAATCGCTATTTCAGTATCTGTACTCCGTAGATACCCGTCGGTCTACATGATAGGTCTCGCGATGGTTCATGGAAAACTGCCCTGGCAATGTCTCAAGTCGAAACTTGATACCAAAACGCACGGTTTCATGCTTCTGGGCGTTAAAAATGATTCGTTGGTCTGGAAGGTTTCCCAAAGTTGATTTTATTGTCAGGCCGTGTTTTGGGGCCTGCATGAGGTGGCTAGGCGGCCTGAAGATTAAACACACCGTGGAGATCGATCTCGACGGAAGACCAAGACAAGAGTTCAAGATATAACCATCGGCGGGAGACATCATCAAGGACTTCAAGTCACGTGATCTGTGTACATTCTGGTGCAAGCTGCATCAACCGAAAGCTGTTGCAAAGACAATCTCAAAATACATACACTCCCCCTTGTCAAGACACCCGGGAACGTTCTCGACATTGGTACTGATACAGGGAACTGGAGAATGAAGAAAGGCTCGGTTCGGGATGCATCTTCATCGAGGAGGGCCCCTTCGCTTTGACACGCCTTGCGGTTTCGATGGATGCCTGCCTTTGAGGCGCTCACTACTCTTCGTTGCTGCCTTTATATTCTGTTCCATTTGTCGTTTCACTTGTGACAGCTCATGCGCCTCTCCACCCATAATCCTTGCGGTTTTAGATAGTGCATTGGAATCTTGTAGGCCTTTTATTCTTTCTGCGATTCGAGCGCTGCGACGAGTGGGCTTGAGTGGTGACGTACTTGGGCATGGCCGTAGCCGCGATTTTCTGTTGTCATCATGATCTCCTTGCTGAGCTGAAGCAACCGCCGGCATGGGAGATTCGTGAAGTGGTGTTGTGATCGTTGGACGTAAACTGGAAGAGCCAACTCTAGCTTTCAAGGATTTCGAGACCTTCGATGAAGCCTTTGGACTTAGGACAGACCGTCTTTGTTTTTGTTTTCTTTGTCGGAGCTGAGGCCGCTCTTTCTGCCTCTGCGGATCTTCTTTTCGTGTGATGGTTTGAGGAACGGCATCCAGGGCATTATTGGTGAACAACCCGCATTCGGCAGCGATGGCTGAATGCTGGTCGTCGACCCACTTCAGAAATACTTTCCATCTCTTCACGTCGAGCTCCGCTCCTCTCAACTTACCCCTTGCTATGACCATGACCTTGTCGGCTATGTGCAGATCGTACCCATCACGGAGTCTTCTCATTTCCTCAGTACCAGATACCTGCTTTAAATTGTCCCTCGCAGAAGCGATTTCCTGGTGCGCCACCCTCATCAACTCTGCCTTTGTCTTTGACCTGCTTTGTCTTGCTGCTCGTAACGCCTCCTCGGCTGACTCCACTCTAGATTGCGCTTTCGCCACTTCTTTCTGTGAGGCTCGAATTTCGCTGAATCGGCTATACAGGACCTGAGTATCAGTAATGACATCGGTCAGTCGTGCTTGGGTTTCTTCAAATTCCTTCTCCCTGACAAGTAGATTCGCATGTGCCGGCGCAACCCGTTTCTCACATTGTTTGAGCCTCCGATAGTAGACTGCCCGAAACTCATTCCAGTCTTCCAGTCGGTTCTGTTGGTGTCGGTCCTCGAGCACTCGGAGGTCGTATTTCCATCCCGCGTCTGTTTGGCTCTCACGGACCAAGTCTTGGTACTCTTGAAACCTGTTTTGTGGAATGTAATAACTCCGCCTCTTGTCTTGCATTTCTCGGAATCGCCTCCACTCCATGAGTTGAGTAAAAAAGACTGTGTAATAGCCTCCCTTCCAGTGCCAAAACCAGATAATGTCCTTGTACTGTTCATAATTGTTGGAGTTTTCTATCACGTCCCACCCAAGAGTTATAGGATGAGACGGTCGACCTCCGTCAGCCACCAGTTCATGATGGGCTTCCAGTTGCTCTTGCCAAGCCCCCGCTTTATCTCTTTCGCTGTCGAGAGATGAACTGGAAGGTGAGCGGTGACGGTGGGAGGAAGGGATGAATGAATCTGCGGTAGGAAGACACCTGTATTTGCGGTCAGTATTATCCCTACGGGTGGATCGCTCGTACCCTAGTCGTCTGCCAAGTTCACCTGCGTCCACCGCCCGCGACCGATCCCTTTCGTCGCGTTCATCAGCGAGTTTTCTAGACACGAACGATTCGTTGTTAATACCGGAACCCAATACAGGAGCATCAAGCAAAGCTATCCTCACCGTAGATGTGCTACATGTTCCTCAGTCTCGTTTTCTTGATCTTTGATCTCGAAGAATTGCTCATCTCCAATATCATCGACGGTTAGACGTAGGAGTTCATCCGCATATACTGTGATTGTCATGATGACGGAGGATTAAGGTCAATAAATTGGTCCAACATTGAGAGAAAACCATCAAGTCGTAGGTTGCAGAGTGATGCTAGGTGCAGCTGACCGCAGTTTCAAGGTGTCGCAGTCTGAAAGTGTCGCAGTTTCAAGAGGTGTGCTGAGCGGGGAAGTGATAGGCTCTAGATTTATTTTGAAAATTACGCACTAAATATTAGCCCCGGCGCTAACCGACGGGATCGTCGATCTGGGGCCGTTGAGCATCCTCCACCGAGAGGCAGCCGGAGTATATAAGCGTAAGAAGCAGTGTCGTCTCTAAGTGTAGTTCCTCTTCCTCCCCTACGGAGTATGACGAGACAGAATGGATGAATTGAATACATTCTTGATCCTAACTCCTTTTGACGAATGGGGATTGACGATCGATTCTTTCCGTTTACCACACAACGCGGACAGATATGTGAAGCCGTCTCCTATTAGCCGCGGCACCACGCCAAGCGAATACGGCGAAGACGAAACTCCTGCGAACGAACTGGATTATTTTCACCGTATCCAACTGAGATTTGACCAGGAGACCAAAGTGAAAGGTCGTGTCATATTTGGAAGTGATCCCGATCAGTGTGATGTCCTTCTCGAATCGACCAGACCACGATTTTACATCTCTTTTGACAGCGAACAACGGCCCGCAATCTGGGATAATTCTAACAACGGTCTCACCGTCAGTTATGACGGTGAGGCGAAAGACGAACTTCGTCATCACTTCAAATGGATCTTCTTTCCCGGGTATGAAACAATCAGAGTGAAGATACCACTGCGAAACAACCGGGAGCTGGCCTTTAACGTCCATCTCCCTCGGCATTACGAGACACGTCCTAATGAATACAACGACAATGTCGAGAGATTTATGGACGGTGCTCCTCCGTCGCACGAAGTAGATTTCTATAGTCTAGCCCTCGGCAGTCCAGGTGACTCGTTCGCGCCGAGCGAATCGCTCAGTCCAAGCAGACGACCAGTTTACTTGAAGCGTGAAGAATTGGGCCACGGCGCTTACGGACGAGTCAGAAGGGTCCTGAACGCTACTACCGGATTGGAATGCGCTGGAAAGGAGTTTTTCTATCCGTCAGGCTGGCAGCGTGAAATTGAAATCATGAAAACGCTTCGACACGTATGATAAGATCCTTCCCGGTTATTGATTATTGTTTTGACTGACTCTCTCGAAAGGACCACATAGTTGGGTTTATCGACTTCAAGACGCATCCAAAACCACTTATGGTGACGGAATATCTGCCGCTGGGAAATCTAAGCCGGCAAAACTCGATCAGTCCGATTGCGGTGGAAGAATGGGTGACTCTTCTACACCAGTGCTTGAAAGCTCTTGAATATCTCCACGCCCGCAATGTAACGCATCGAGATTTGAAACCTGAGAACATCCTCGTAAAATCCAGGACACCGTTCTTAGTTCGAGTCGGCGACTTTGGTCTCGCAAAAAAAGATATCGACTTGAGAACACGGTGCGGGAATTATCGATATTCGCCCCCCGAAGTTTATTCAAATCGGCCTTATACGTGCGTAGTCGATATCTGGCAGTTGGGTGTGATTGTCTTGGAAGGTCTCTATGGGCTCCCCGAGGTCCCTCGCGATGCACCACCAAAAGACGTGAAAGAGCGTCGCAAAACTCAACGGCAAGCTTTCACCTGGTGCTCTAGCATCGTCGAGGCGGCAGAGGACTGGGAGTCGGATCCCATGATCGACTTTCTTAAAAGCCACATGCTCAAATGGGAGCCTACAGACCGCCAGTCAGCAGCAGAGTGTTTGAGCATGGCGTACGACATTGGCCTGTTCGAAGAGATTCCCCTGCGGACAGGAAGCCTCACGCCACGACGAGAACCGGCCCAAGTGCATGATGACATTGATGCAGAAGATGCGTCGACCATCAAGGAGCCCTTCGGAAAGATTGGTGGTACAGCAGCGAGCCACGAGGGGCACACATCGCAACCCGAGAATGGCTCACCTAGCCCGGGAGAAAGACACAGCGACCGATCTGTGAAACGCAGACGGACCACCAACGATTTCGATCCGAGCCTCAATTTTCCAGGCTGGTCGTTTGATCTAGGGGACGTTTCCCAGATCACACCAGACGAGAGCTTGAAGGCATTATTGGACAGCGCAGACAATGGTGCAAAACAGGCTGAATCAATCCATGGGTCCATTCAAAGCGATAGTTCTGACAACCCTCCTATCGCACCACCTCTGGAGAAGCATGGGCAGTTTGTTGTACAGAACTCGGGCAGGCACCGGGGCATTTTACATGTACCAGATGCTCGACTCAACTTTACCATGGATACGTCCGCGACGGGTCCTTGGATTGACCTTCCGACAGCACGCGGACTATGTGCTATGGCCAATCTTGACGATGACTTTCGGCCGCTTTTGTCTTTTGGAGAAGCTCAAGAAGGTCAAAGAGCGCAGAAAACTCCCATCTTATCTGATCCGCTCCAGATGGAACAGCGAGAGAAAATCCCGAGCTACACAAAGCTTATCTTTGAAGACCGTACAATTCTGATTCGAGATCAGGATTTATGGATAAACGCAAGCCAAGTTTTTCGAGCAGCAGGGTTTGATGAACCCCCATTTAGTTGGCCAAATCAGAAGTTCAACTATGACGTGGTGGATTCATTGGGCGTGTTCGTCGAGTCCGACGTCGCCATTAATTTGTGTAACCTTTATTCACTTCAAGCCCTCGGAGCAATCTTGCACGAAAGAACGCGAGTGATGAAAGTGACGCATACTCGACAGAGTCAACACTTTCATTTTCTCGAATGCGACAATGATGTAGTGGCAGTCAGACGGAGAGACTTCAGTGTCAACCTTACCCATATCTTAAAAGCATCGTCAGCGCATCCCTCTCATAGGGACACCTTGCAGAGATTCAAGCGGAGATTACCTTCTATCGAGGTTGTAAGGGGTGATCCTAAGATTCAAGGATCCTATGCACATATTTCTTTGGCGGTGAATCTCTCTTGCCTGCTTGGCTTGACGTTAATCACCAAGGCCCTGCTTGAATTGATTTCTACTCGAGACGCACAAGGTAAAAAAGTTTTCGGTGACGATGGACTATGTCCGGACGAAGGTCCTTCGAATACAGCACAACCTGGGAACGTATCAAGAGATGGACCGAGACAAGATGGACTCTTTGAGTGTGATGGCGATTTTGGCCCGGAGATGAACTTCTCTGAAATCGACAGGCAGTTACAACTTTCCCGGCCGTCGTTCAGATTTATGACGCCTACGCCACCCTCACAGACGTCGCCACTCCGTATGAGTAATTTGCAAGCTGTTAAAGGGATGACAACGACATTGGAGTGTGACAACCAGATAGACCTGTCATCTATCCAATTTCCATTCGACCTTTCTTGTCTCAAACCGACCGAATCGAGAGAGCTCTCCGAACATAAATCAGGTGCAAGATCATCGTGCTTAGATCGTGGAGTCAGGGGTTCGAGTGTGCAGACTATGACACGCCGGAAACAAGGTCAGTCAAAACGAGTACTATTCTAAATTCCGGGGCTGTTATGACCAAACTACAGATACATCTTATCAAGATCGCAAGTCTCCCCCAACAGGCACGATGAATACCCAAAAGACATTACAGGTCTTTCAGGAGCGACGGACAAACAGAGTTACTTGTAATGGTCTGGAGGTTACCGAAGCCCCCGTCCGACGACGCCACAAACCAAGGTAAGTCGTATCTCGTCCTCGACATTAATTTTACTGACACAAATTTCCAGCATTGAAGATGTCTCAATTCTTCGAGAAGCTTACCAAAAATATCGAAATCGAAGTGCGACTGAAGAGGAGCTTCAAGGTATCGCGGAGCGAACACAAATGACAATTCCCCAAGTTCGGGTAAGGCGTCCTCATGTGAAAAATGACAGGAGCTAAAACTGGTGTAGCGGTGGATTGAGAATCGAAGACAAGAAGACCGATGTAAAATGAAGGGTATGTTTTGACTCGATAGTGATAGCAATTCCTGATTTACCGTTTGATTGCTGAAACCCTCTCTCATTCAGTCAGTTATGACACTTCATGTGGGCTAACTGACGCTGGCGTATTCGTGACTGTACTGTAACGATCATCGGCGAGACTACGAGTAAGACATCGTCGTCATTGTGTGATCCACTACCTCGTAGCTCGTGGCCTGCATAAATATCCGTTTGAATGGCCTGGAGTTCTCTTTCTCTCAGTCATGCGTGAATTGGAACATCCCCAAGAGAGATTTGGAGAGAGATTGCTGGGTTTGCCGGATATCGAAGGCAGAATTTTCGTCGTCAGGAATGGGTGATCTAGAATGTATACCAACTGGCTGATCGTCACCCAGTATATTAGGGTTGTCTAGGAGAATGTGTGAACACACATGTAACATACAGAGCATTGAATAAGCCCATTACTCTTGTGCACAATGCACTGACCCTCTTCCAGCCTCCGTTTTCTGCGTTGCTGCTTCCTCGCTGCCGTCCGCTGTAACTCGGCTGGGAGGGCGACGGCGAGGCAGAGTGGGACTCTTTGAAAGATGTTGTTGGTTGCCGCTGGATTTAGCTGAAGATGCCC